AAAGATATCTTACTGTTTCCTTTTACTATGTCTAAGCAAACCACGGCACCTCTAGACGGGCTGAAATAGATACCTCTGACGACAATACCTGCACGGCATTACGTCATTCATGGAATATTAATGACCGGCTTCGATGGAAGGTGCTTCTACGCACGTTTCGGGTTCGAATCCCGTAAAGGACGAATGTTGTGTTACGTTGGAGCACTTGTAAGTATGTTGTCGTGTATAACGATTAACTTTGGGTCATAATCGCATTTGTTAGGTAAGGAAAGCTATAAAGTACGCTACATCTTGAGGTCATCGGTCTATCGAGCAGGTGGGTGTCCCAGGTAAACTTCGTTTTTAGAGACGTGGTCTCCATTCGAGAACATGTATAATCTATTTTTCATTGTTTCTGCGATACTGGGTTCTGAATCGCACAATCTAGTTACTTGATATGTCATTGTGATATCGTAAGTTTTTTTGACAAGTTATTTACCTTCTACTTAATAAGAGGAGGCCTGTAAACAATCAATTTTAAATATTATCAAAAGTTGCTTTCAGCCCGCGGCTTCACCCGCGTGGAATTTTGTCTGTCATAGAAAAACTATATCGCGCGTGTCCCTGTTTCAAAAACTGGGATAAAAACTATCCTATGTCCTTTTCCGGGTCTCAAACTATCTCGATGCCAAATTTCATCAAAATCTATTTATTAATTCAGTGGTTTAGGCGTGAAAGCAAGACAGACAGACAGTGTTACTTTCGCATTTATAAATTAGTACAGATTACACATTTTCATCAGCAATCAGTACCTTAGTATGGGGTCGTAGTCTTATTTTGAAAATTTGATATTAGACCTATAGGAAAGGTATTTGAATAGTAGAATCAACCCTTTTTGTTTTCTCATGTATAAAAATAAATACATTCTATTCTATTCTATTCTAATAGCACCCTGTATATTTAGTAAGCTACCGAGTTGACCTGTGTTGTGGTGGCACTCTATTTCTATTGTATACCTATAAACCCATTACGGGCTTTTACGTAATGAACGCAAAGTGATGGCGATACCACTATACAGCGTTTTTGCATTGAAACCACGGGATAATTGGTTTATTATTAGTGCTTTTTTCCTTTTAAAACTCATTATATTTTTGCAAATAGGTTTTTAAAAGCACTTACGCGTCCCAGAATTAACCCTACCACTGCTTACAATGGGCCAGTGCTGAGAAAAGCAGCGCAAGAAACTAAATCACTATTATCAGCTTATTCTGTAAAACCAGAATTAATTAATGCTTTAGGTACTTTAGCTGGTTGCTAGGGTGTGTCTTGTATGGTGTTAAGTAGGTGAGTATCATACCTATCCAATTTACAGCCATGTGTAGCGTTGTTGTATAGTTTTAATTGGATAAGTGGAAAATGTATAGTTCGATAACCCTTTTACAGCTCTACAAATGAATGAATGTTTTAATTATTTACTAACTTATAAACGCAATAGTTACGCTTTTTGACTGTTTGTTTGGTTAAAGTGTAGGTATCTGTTGACACACATTATGATATTATAATCATAATAATTTTTTGCTATAGATAGAGAAGGAAAATAAGGATTATTTTTTACAAAATCAAACAAGAAAAAGGGCGTCAGTAGTTGTTTTTGTGTACTGCTTATTGTCGTAAAATAAACAAACTAAGTACTCAAAAGCATTTACTTTAGTTATAAACATAGTCTAGGTTTGGTAACGCATTTTCTTACATAACTTTTCAATTCCTATCATTGGAGGTCCGAAAATATTTCTCATACAATTTGATACCATAATGATCATTCTTCATAAAAAATTTAAAACCTACATATTTAAAGACATAATCATTGATATTCATAATATCACTAATCATACACTTAGTTTTTACTAATATTTGTTTTCATATATTTTTCTATACTAATGATCGAAACTCATAATCATTCGAATAAATAACTATAACATTCATAAATGTGATGTATCCTAATATATGTTTTCATAAATTTATTACTCATAAGTGTATTTATCCATATTATTGAAATAGGGTAAACCGTATAGCTATTGCCCACTTAAAGATTTCAAACACATTGAGATGAAAAATTAAAGAAAGTATTTTAATTATCCCCATTTATGACTTTTTTCTTATAACTCAATAAACTGTTAAACAGAATATTAACACTTTTTAGTTAAAACTTACGTAACTTAGAAAATATTTAAATAAATTTAAAATCCTCCAAAAAGTACAGTCATTGCCCATTACTTACACTAATTGCCCACATCAAAGCACAGTAATTGCCCAGTATCTTAAAACAAAATAATCAATTTTAAAATCCCAAAATAGGCTTAAATAAACAAAACAAAACATTAAACTTAAATTCTAGTAGTAACTAGAATTTAAGTTTAATGTTTTGTTTTGTTTTGTTTTGTTTACTGAATTACTATTCAGTCTTCAAAATTTCAAAAAAATTTTTAAAATAAATTGCGTTTGGCCTTATTAATATTATTATCAAATATTTCTTGAGCTGATGTTGATGAGTCAGAATCGGTAGAGACAGAATCATCTACTTCAAAACATAGATGACGCAAATATTTGAATTTTATATGTATTTATTTTTTTATCTTCTTATCTAATTGAACATTCTGAGCAACCACTTGAAATGATATCAGTTCAAGTGGTTGCTCAGAATGTTCAATTAGCTGTTGGTTATTCTTCCATAAAGTTATATCTATTCCCTTACAATTAACATTTTCACTAGTAGATTTTTAACGTAGGATTTTCATTTTTTGTATTTGCGTTTGAATTTTTATGAATTTTTTCAAGCCAAACCATATTTTTCAGCAATTTATCTTGTAGATAAATTGTTAGATAGATCTTGTACAGCTTCGATCCCTTTTTGCAAATTTTCTATGCTATATTGAACTTTTGGAGTCTTTGGCATACTAAAAATGAAACATTAAAAGCCATTTCNATGGTAGTAATAAAAATGTATGAATAAAAAAAGTATGAAAAATAAAATTATGAAGAGAGATTATTATGAACACAAATCGGTAGTAAGACAAAGAATAGGATTTAGAATTTTATGTGAGCCAATATAGAACCTCTAGGTTTATATTGTATTAAAGCTGAAAATGATCTTTAATAAGTAATGTAGCCATAATTATGTCCATGGATGACGTGTGGCCGTCAACAGGGTTGTTTCTCGCGTGTTTTCTAAAGGGTAGTCGTTAAAGCAAGAATTGATAATGCTATAGCAAGTAAGAAGCTCTATTGTTCCGCCATGGTAACCTATTTCTCTGGTCATTCAACTTTCAGTTACGTGACTTTCCATGGCTGAGTCTACAAGCCATTCTGTCGAGTTCACAAATTTTATTGGCTCTATTATGATGTAACATGCCGCGAGTATAGGTTAAATTGTATTTTTTATTAGATTTATTGTATTTTTATAAGGTCGTGGAATGTTAAGTGAAAGTCTAAAAGCTTTTCGGAGTTTTAGAGAAGCCTGAATTAAAAAAATATGTAACTAGGTAGTTAGTCTAAAACACTTTAGCAACAATACCTAAATATTAAGTAGAGATTTTATGAAACACGCAAATCAATGTTTAGTGCATCTACAACAGTGATGGGGGTGAATTACCATCTCAAATTAATTGATTAGGTATTAATTTAGTAAAAATACAATAAAATTATATATGTATAAATTATTGCTAGATTTGAATAAAAACATTTTGAGGAATAAAAAAAAATAAAAATAAAATTATAAGTTCTTAATTTATAACAAACTAGCTGACCCGGCGAACTTTGTTCCGCCTTAATGGCAATAAATAAGCAACTTTTTTTTTATTTCGAACGGGATAAAAAGTATCCTATGTCCTTCTCCTGGCTCTAAGCTACCTCCCTGTCAATTTTTAGCTAAATCGGTTCAGCCGTTCTTGAGTTATAAGTGGTGTAACTAACACGACTTTAATAAATACTTATATAAGATAACTATTAGGTATCTCTAGCTTGGGCTTTTAAACAGACACCTACTTCTTGCCTTAACTATGATAGGTAATAATAAAATTATATTCCCTAAACAAAGCTTTTAGTTGATTTTCCCAGCTGCTTGGTTATCTAATGGTTTGAAGCTAAAAAAATATAGATCTAGCTACTTATGAGACTTTGATGAAGGCACGTGTTACCGTTGTGCAGCCAACCAAATAGACTAAGAGTTTTCTATAAATTATCTTAGTATCTGAGTTATTTTCCGTAAAAGCTCTACATAGTTATTGGAACTTCTATTAGTATGTTCTAAAAGTAAACTCAATCAAAGGTTAATGTCTGTAAACATACAAAAACGTCACCATTTTTCCGTGTATTTTTGTCCAATCGCCGTACGTAGCTACGGTTTATTCGTCCAAGCTACGGGCACATCGGTAAGTGTATTTGCTGACCTTCCGCAAATACTGGCTGGCAACGTTATTTTTGGACGTGGTAGTGTTTCCGATATTGATTCCATCTGTTATCCTTATATGGATGTTAGTCAGATAGTTTGTACGGCTATTAGAATCTTTTTCGGGACTATTCCCACCTCTCGTTCCCACCGCTGCAACTCCTGTGTAGCCAGGATCTACAGCTTGACCGCCATAAAAAACCCAACCAATGAAGGTCAAGTTAGTCCCGGGGGAAAATTAAACTGTCATTGGACCCGCAACGAAATTAATCAGGACATCGGATGTTATTAGAATCTATGTTAGGTACTTTTGTATTGGTTTTACCGACTTAAAAAGAGGTGTTGAGAGTAGTTACCTCGAACTCTCATAATTATGTTATCACTTCCATGATTCTTTAAGTTAGGTATGTGCTTATTAAAAATACTTAAAGAAAAGGTAAAATAAAATGATTCAATGTTAAAATAAGTGATTTTTATTTCATGTAACGTCGTCTATCCTCAAGCATTATTGGCGTTAACATAATCATATAATATTAATTAACTACACAACAAATATATTTATATATTTTAATCTATCAGCCAAAAAATACAAAACTTTGGTTTCTAGCTTATTACGTTTCTTAAATTTTATTTTAATTTCCTCTATACGGATTGCTTACTTGAGTATTTATAATGTTTTATTTCGAATAATGGTGCTGAATAAATTTTTATGATGTTAAAAGTCCAGTTATTAGGTATATTAAAGACTAGACCGTCACGTTTGCAAGCATGAATTACCTAAAAGTTAAAATATAGGGTACTAGATATAACAACACTCCAAACTATCACATTCAATCATCCATGATGAATATTTACATGATCAGACATAATCTAGAGCTTAAGGCACACAATACAAGCTGGCTTCAAGCCTATAGGACACACTTATTTACAGATTTGGCCCCAAAATAATGATGTTCCGTAAATAAAGATATACCATACTACTGGCTACATCACACGATACATCACTACACTCTTTAATATAATTACACGAATATATTATTATTTCTAGAGCCTCTGACAGTCTTTACGTAACATTGCTTCACAATCACAACACTGTTTTTGGATGTAAACATTTTGGACAAGTTTCACGATATTAGAAATAACGTCAAATAATTTAGATTTTGTGTGTGACAGAGATCATGATAAATATTTTAATTCAATTCATAGATTTTAACATTCACCTTCACAGATATTCGTATTCATATCACAACATCGTCTATGTACACAATTTTATAAAGATATAATTTGTAGAATAACTACTTCCCTAATTTAAATAAAATAGAGCCCAGACCACTTCTCATTCCAAAAGTCATCTGTTTCGATTCATAATAAATACTTTAACGCCACTTTTTATAGTTTGTTGATCAAATTGTTAGGTACTTGTATTTGACACAATCCAGTTGCAACATCCATTCTTCGTACCAGTTTGGAAATGCTGAAGAAGAGTTACATTGGGGGCTCAGTTATCGTTCCGGGACAGCCGGTTGAGTAAAAGTCACGCTTTCTTCTTCCCCTTGGGGTTGTCTTCGGTGAAAATCTCTTTGAAGTCATTAAGAAGGATGTCGACGACGTTGTTCTGTTGGATGCAGTCGATGGCGATGTTGTGGGCTTGCTCCGCGGGCGCCCAGAGGAGGGTTGGGCCAAACACGATGGCCAAGTTTGCCGTGTGCATTCTGTTTCGTTCGCTGTACTGTGTGACTCTGGAAATAGAGAATAAGTTGATGAATTTTAACTCAGACATGACCATTATTTTCAAAAATGCCCAAAAATTATTCTCCCCATATAGGCCGACCGGTAGGCTAAATCCTCTATGCCTCTGGTAAATTAGATAAGGTCATTTTCCTGCAATGGAGACCAAATGACTTGATAATGATAATGATGAAACTGATCACATCAAGTTGCTAAACTATTTCGTATTTTAGTTCTTACTCAGATTTTGGGTATTAGATTAAGTTTGTCGTTTTATTAGTAGACTTACCGTAGAAGATGTTCTAAAAGGTACTTCAGGGTGTCTCTGTTACATTGAGGTAAAGCTTGGACTATATCTCGGAATTCTTTGATCTTCGCTTCCCTTGGTTTTATTGCTGTAACAAAAGTAACATCATTAGTAATACTTGGCATCTTTAATAAATCGGAAATTTGTCTGGATACTATGATTTAATGTAATCGATTGAGAAACATGCGATGTTATTAACACAGATCAGTGCAACAGAAGCCATTTTAGGGGAAAACAGAAACCATTTTGAAGATAATATTAGTTATTTTAAGATGATGTAAACCTTTGACAGAGTTTTCGTTAATGCTAAATAGCAAACAATTTAATTGTGGTAAGGAAATGTGGCTTAATTTTTTACCTACTGCCACAAGGCCTATTCAGAAAGGATGTAGTAAGTAGTGTAGTAGTGTAAGTAGTAATACTTTTTGGCGTCTTTGGATGAGATTTTTTACTACCACCAATTAGCAATACAATTAAAGATATACTTACAGCAAGCAGCGAGCACCCGGTCGAACATACTGCAGGGTATGAGCGGCTCTTTCAGCTCCCTGAAGAACAGCTTCAGCGAGCCCGTCAGCACGTGGATGTCTGTGTTGTTCTCCATCACGGACAGGTTGTTCTGGTCGATCTGCAAGTGGAAATTCATTGTTAAAGTTTTCTGAGTATTTATCATTGAGGAGGTAAGTATTTACTTGAATTAACTCTCTAGCCAAAATCCCATCATTTATTCTCTTCATTGTACTCATGCACAGTGTCGAGTGGCGATCACGGGTCGGAAGACGTAGCGTGCAGGCCTCCCACTAGGTAGACCGACGATCTGTTGAAAGTCGCGTGAAGAGCCTGGATGCAGGCAGCGTAGGACCGGCTGTTATGGAAATCCTTGGGGGAGGCCTTTGTCCAGCAGTGGACGACATTTGGCTGAAATGAACGAACTCATGCACATTAAATTTTTATTTTTTTACTTGAGAATGTGCTGTTATTGGATTTTTATTCCACATTCATATTTGTTAAACCAACAAAGATCGTGTATCCTATTGAACTTTTTCCTTTTTCTTACAATTCTATATTTTGAGAATTATTCTGTTGATGGATGAATCACGTCATTTTAATTCAAAAAGACAGCCAACATTAAAATCCAAAGAAACAACAAGATTCTCACCTCCAACCGAATCTTCTGCACCTGGCTCAGGTTCCCACTGGCCCTGTACAAGCCATCGGTACACATGTTCTCCTCACTGCTCTCTATCTCTTTCACACACGCCACCACGAAGTCCGGCACCCGAGGGCTGGTGGCTGGACAGACCTCCTCCAACTTCCGCCCGAAGACCGGCTCATCTGGAGACGGAGGGTTTGGTTATGGCCTAAGTTGTAAGGGAATAGGCTAGTTTCCTAAAAAAATTTTTTTAGTCCGTCAATTTTAGTAATAAAATATTGGACACGTATATTTTTAATTATCAATCTAACAAATAATTACAAAGTTTATAGTGCGTTGAAGTTCCGCGCGACGTCACAAAGTGCTGCACTTTTACGCACTCACTGACGTCACGGGCCTTTTTTTAGAACTTTGGCACGCTTTATCTCTTTACATTTTCATTAGTTTTAAAAAGTGAAAAATACGTGTCGAGTAGTTTTTGATAAGCTAACTGACGGACTAATTAAAAATCTTGCTTTTTTACTCAGGAAACATCCCTATTTGTACCTTGTGGCTTGGATATACAGCATTTATGCTAATGGTCATACCTAAAATATGAGAGACGCGTTTACAATAATAGCTTAAATACCGCAGGTGGTTAGACCAGATAAATTATTTTAGGAAGAACATCTAACACCATCTTATTACAACATAGGTCGACTTAAAATTGCTATAGAAATAAGCAATAGAAAGATTTCTATTTACAGTGGTTTTTTAACCATTTTATATGAATGCGCAGTACATAGCAAATCTTACTAAGCGTTCCTAAAGTCTACATTTCCCACTGAATTCTTAACTAGTAATTAATATAAACAGAAGTTTGTTTGTAGGTAAGTAAATGTGGCTTAGCCTACTGTACAAATAAAAAAAGCGTAACTACAACTTATAAATTTAGACAAGAAACATACTCGTACACGAGTTCTTAAATTATGTTACAATTAAAATTCCGTTCTCTTGACTATTTATTGTTGATCGTTACCGCTTCTTCAAAGAAACTCATAATTATTATATCGTGCCTATGATTTATTTTAATTACAATGTAACAAGACGAATTATAAATATAATGACTTTAAAGAACAATCAGTTATTGTAAATGGCGTTTTTTAAAAACAGTTTTTTATTGTCTTGCTCGATCTTGCAATGATATTTTCAATCAACACAATATGAAATTTAAAAGTATAGAATACACGACAAGCACATCAGAATAAACTTTTTTGCCGCAAAATGACACCTTTTGTTGCAATTCACGAACGCGAGTGAGCTTAATACATGTGTGGTGGCTCGCTACTGTTCGTTTTTCTATCGCTATCGTTATGTACATATAAGTACACGTACACACACATGTAAAGGTCACTCGCCTGAACGTGAGTTGCAAGAACTATACCTTGATGTGATGTCGTCTACACCTAGGCCCAGAACAGACGGTGAAACGCAACTGCAACGAAACTGCAACTTTCTGATGATTCTGATGAATGAAACTGAAACTGAAAGTTTCAAACTAGTCGCGTCATGTGTGGTCTCTCAACGGACGCTATGGCAGAAACTTAGATGCAACTCAAAAGTAATTAGCAGTTGCAGTTTCGTTGCAGTTGCGTTTCACCGTCTGTTCTGGGCCTTAGGTAAACGTCTGAAAAAACTCATGCGATTTCAAAAAAATACTAAACCTACATAAAACTACTATGCACAATATTAAACCATACACCATAAATGTGAAATAAGAAAAAAACTCCATAATTCTAAGGTAATGCACATAAATAAAACACCAAAAAATTTAGAAATATCTTTTTATACATGCAAGCTAATTTGCCAAAAACAAAACAGAAAGAAAATTTAGTAAAACACTAAAAAAAATTAAACTTGCACGCATGATTTTTGAAATTGATCACTATGTTTTCATGAAATTCATTAATATTTACACGTTCACACAAATATTTACATTTTTATCCCTTTTTAACTCTATACATACGGTAGATTAGTTGTTTAAATACTCTCTACTTATTTCTTTTTATCACGGAAAAACACTGTATTGTAATTATTTTTCCTTTCTTTTCATTCCTCTCCTTGTTAATAAAACCCAACCAACCAACACTATTAGTAAAAAAAATCAAAAACTACTACTCTATATTGACTAAACAAAAAAGCGTCTAAAACTAATTTAGCTTAGTGCAAAATCATTTCGTGGCAAGCATCACACACCAACATAATCACATCGAACCTTTGTAGATTCCTTTTTTCACCAGCACCTCCATAGCTGGTCTCTTCGGGAAGAACTTTCTGAGTATACTCCTCACATGTGACTTTTGTATGGACGCCTCCGTAGAGTCACTGAGATCTTCATTGCTGCTGCCACCAGCTGAAAAAAATAATACCAACATACAAACAGGTGAAGCGACAGTCGAAGAAGCTTAAGCGAGAGAAGGTTAAGCTAAAAACGTATTTGGTAAAGTTATTGCCCAAACCACCAGAGAAATTAAAGATTTTATAGCTAAGTTAAAAGTTACGTAGACTGATAGTCTGATATTAATGATACCAATGAAAGGCCAAAGATTTGACTAATAATTTAGTTTAACATTTAGTTATAGCAGTAAGTTGTGTTAGTTTTAATACTGGGTAAGTTATATTATACTAATTAATAAACTAAATCTAAAGTTAAGATAGCCAATCCCAAAATAATGAAGACACGATTAATGTAGATCTACTTACGTTAAACTAAATTAGTCTATGTTTAATTAACACACCTCAATACCTAAAACAAGAATGAGACCACAAATGTATGATAATGAAAGGTTTGGAAGTAATTAAAAACGAAACATTTGAAGAAGATGAAAAACAAATTGAGACAAACCAACTAACTGTGAATGATAGAACATCACATGTTAAACCACATAATCTGACATCAGAAACCATGGAAGACAACAACCAAATTATATAAAATACTATTTACCTTATTGTATCGTTTAACACTAAAACTGAAATTTTAATCACTATTATAATCGCATAAGATAATTCACGACCTTGAGTAGATGACGATGGAAAACCTATAAAAACATAAAACTTGCAATATGTTTTCGTACATAGCCGAATTAACAATGAGCACTTCACACCACCAAGATATAGTCCATAATCAATATCTTATCGATCATGTTGAAGATAAAACTGTATCACTAACACTCTGTAAAGGTGTTTTAATAACGTTCAATACAAACGGATGCGTGTAGTCGTTTTTTATTTTTAATAATGTAAATAAAATTAATTTTATGATTTTGCACGTCGAAATTCTTAATGTAATATAAGCAGAACACATAAATTTCTTCTAAATTCTTCGCTCAAATAAAAATCGGAAAAAGCGGGAATTCGCTAACCTATATGTTACTTAGGCTTAAATATTTTATTTACATACGTTTGTGTACTTTCAAATCGTGGTGCTTCTGACTTAGATTGTGATGAGATCCAAAAATGTCTTTCAGTTTGGCATAAGTCTTTTCCGTTGGGCTTTTCTTTGCTTTGCTCATTATCACCATGCTATACAGATAGAAGAATGACGTAATCGACAAAACATCAAAGTTTTGAAAATCCATTGCAAATGTCTTCACTTTTTCACTACACTTTTTAAACAATCACTGCACTGATTTTAATAAACTTTGTATCGTCATTGTCAATTATTATTGTGATCCGTGTATTCTCTTAGAGTTATAATGTCTGACTGAACTCCAATTATAGATTTAATGATTAAACTGAAGCACTATCTACAGATAAAGGACCCTCGATATCGTGGCTTATAATTTTAATCAACGATAAAAAGCTTTTGTAGATATAATTACCAGCAAGCAAGTTGAATATAACTCAATATAGAAGAATACTTTGTAAGACAATCACAAAGTCCTAGGAAGAACACGTGTTAATGATTAATTAGTCAATGTTTGTGTTTTGTGTGATGATTACGAAAACAATGACGAAAAAAGTGAAGATCCGTAAAACATCATTACTCATTAGGAATTAGTAATCACTGAAATCTAATTTACAAGAAAAGATAACTTTATCACATTAAATGGACTAATTAACTTACGTAAATCCATATGAAGTAACGCAGTCTGCAATATGCATCCACAGAAAGCCATTGTCAATCCATTTACACTTTGTGATGTGAATTTGGAATCAAATTGAACCCGATTTAAAAATATCACAACATCTGTCTACTCACGGACATTGCCCGTGGGTGGCTTGACCGGAGGGACCGGCGAGCGTTCGGCGAACGAACGAGCAATGTTCGGTTCGCGAGCGAACATCGAAGAAGACAATCCTGACGCACTCTCTTCAACGACTTTGCACTAAACGGTCTCAATAATATTGTAAATTTATACCGAATAGATAACTAATTTCATACAGTCCACTCTTTTTTTCATTTATAAACTTCCACCACACACACTATCGAAGTAACAACATCAAATCAAAGGAAGAAATTATGTAAGTCCAATCAGTTAAAACAGACGAATTTAATTAAGAGAACAACATAAATGCCAATTAAAACAAACACCCAAACTTCACAACGCGCAACGTTGGAATAAAACTGAACAAGGAAAATAAGTTAAACTTAGTAGTTTACCGGGAAGCTGACATGATACGGATTGGACGACAAGTAAACAACAACTTAACAGTACTAGGAAATAACTATGAATTATTCAACATTTTTGGTCATAACCACCGAGATGAGTAGGTTGCTTAGACTCATAGTTAATGAATTCTAATAAATTACACGAATATTCGGTTAATGAGGGTTTTCGCGAATGAAAAATCCGCCAGATGGCAATACGTAGACGCGAGGTTCAAATGATTGGTTATTTTTGACATGACATTGACAGATATGTCAAAATCCACCAATCACGCAGCAGTCAGACCCCACATCCACGACCCGCCATCTAGCGGATCTTTCATTCGCGAAAACCCTCATTTGAGAGACAAGGCAGAACCAAAACAGATTCTACAGAAAAATCAACATCATATTAATTCAAACAAAAAGTACAGAGCTACGTTGTTAGTATCTTTAGCAAAAGAAACTATACAATCATGCTTAACATAGAACTTAGAAGAAAAATGTAGCCCCGATAAAATTATACATCAATCAAATACTCACTTCAAAATATACCTCTTCCCATCTTCAGAGATCTCTGGAAGGCCTTTGACAAAGTCGCGCTGGGCATAAAACTGTGCCTTGGGGTACGCTAGGAATATTTGTGGGACCAACCTTTGTGTTTGTTCCTTGTGGCGTGGCGGGCCGCTGGGGGGGTCCTGCCCAGGCTTTCCAGGTCTGTATTGCTGCTTGTATACTGCGGGGAGTGGAAGTCTTCCAGCATTGGAGGACCCTGGACAATGAAGGAAGAAATTTTAACATTTATATTGGCTTTTCTTTAATGTGTTACATATTTTTGGTCAGTTAGGNTTTCTTATGCTGCGTGCGGTCGTTGCGCGTGCGCACAAAGGAATGAGACCGCTCGGACACCGAGCCCACAGCGTGGTAGGGGTGGGGTTGCCCGCTCTTTTGTTTTTTACTACTACTGCGCTGAAAATTGTGTGCGGATTGGCTTGTCGTACAGGGGTACTACTACACGGTAAAATAAATCTCGGAGGCGAAAGCAGGATAATTGATATCAAAGTCGTAACTAAAACAGGAACTGTATGTTCTAAGAAATCAAAGAGTAGTTTGACATATTTACTTAATCTACTGACAGGCACGTCCGTTCCCAATTAAGTGAAGTTAGGATTAGGACATAAGCAGACTAGGACCAACATGATTTTCCAAAACGAAATAGGTAAGATTCTGTGCACGTTATGCTTTCGGTCAGCTATAAATATGTCAAGGGCACATAGATAGCAGGATTGTCACTTTAGTTGTTAACAATCAACACTATAAAAGAATCTACATTCCGAAGTCCCTAAAATGACAAGAGGGCATTTCGCCCAAAGGGTTCATGAGAACAAAGACACGACTTTGAGCCCACAGGAGAGCTAAATCATCAGATATGCAGCACGGGAATATTCCCACTTCTGCAAAAACGTTCTTTGATCACCCATAGGAGATCTTATCCATGGGTGATCAAAGGACACCAAAGTGTCGCCTGGAGTCCACTTTGATCACCTGGGTGATCAAATCCAGTTGATCAAAGTGAAATAGACCATCCAAAACACAATAGTGAGTACGATACTCATCTTACTACTTGAGAACACGCCAATTCCGAGCCGCTTGGTAATCAGGATGTATCACACGACATATCGTGCAACAAACACCTGGTCGTGCAATTGGCGTAGGAGGGAAGGATATACCGTCTGATGAGGTAAATTTCACAATTGCACAATTGCCGTCTGAGGATCCTGGCTAATTGAGGGCTGCTCTACAAGGCTGGGTTTTGAGTTACTGAGGGATTTTATTACAGGATTAAACTTAGGTACTTATGCAAATATGTGCCAAGTAGGTCCAAGGACAAGACAAATTAGGAACGAGTACTTAGTGTATAGCACAACATGCCACCGTTATAAATTCCTCGGGAATTTTAAGAAAAAATCCAACTGATGTTACGATATTGATCTAGCTTTCATGATAAAGGATTTAGTACGATCGATTATTTACTAACAGACGTTATTTGTTAATTTAAAAATTGAAAATTTAATACGATGTCTTCATCTTATTAGGCTCCAAAACATCGCAAAACAACACTTCATGGCAGATGGATCAGAGGTAGACATACGAAATGACATTGACATAACATCATGGCTTATTTTTCACGAGTCTTATAACGAGAACGTCTTAACATTTACTTGACAAATAGTCTGTTTTCGTACGCTTATGACGACAAGAATCCTGAATGTCCCCATCGCGTGATACAAGGCCTGAAGGAAGTACTGAACTTGGCATTCCTGAGATGCGCACGCGTCGGAATGCCGATACCATCGAAGCGCAGCGAGGTCGGTAAACTGCAATTGCCCTGCAATATACTTATCAAGACAAACAAATGAAATAAGGACCTAAAATCTTACTTTCACGACTAGATCATCTAAACATTTTTTGCAAAATAGACTACGCTTCGGCTGCTTACGACGTACATAAAACTCATTTATTTATGCAAGTAGGCTTTTAAAAAGCACTTTTACACGTCCCAGTATTAACCTTACCACTGCTTCAGGACAATAAATGGGCCAGTGCTGAGAAGAAGCAGCGCATGAAACTCAGTCACTATTGTCAGCCTCTTTTTCAAGGGTTTTCAAGGGTTTACAGAATCTCGAATGACCTATTCGCCTGGAGGCAGTGGGACTGAACTTGGCATTCCTGAGATGCGCACGCGTCGGCAGGCCGATACCATCGAAGCGCGGCGAGGTCGGTAAACTGCAATTGCCTTGGAATTGGTGTGATTCAGGGTTGGGGCGTTGTTCCTGATATGCCAAAAAGACATTCTGGTACTTTATTCATTTTAATTCATAAAGACAAGAAGGTAGGGTTCGAAGTTTGTACGACATAAGAGCTTTTTAAAATATCATTACAAAAAAAAAATATGTTGTTAAAAAATATAAAGCGACTGAGCTGGCACTGCTTCTTGCAGCAGCATCCCGCCTTAAAACTCGAAGCAATGATGTGGTAGACTTACAATTACCTATTAAACAGAGACGTGTAGAAGTGCTTTTTAAAATCCTATTTGCAGATAATGACACTTTAAAAACAATCACAATGCATTTTTTTAATTTACTCGACCAATAAACGGAGGAGTGGTAGAGTTAGATCCTGCTTTACTACCGCATGAGCCAGACACCAGACATCCTGCGGACAGTCTGGACCGATACCATCTCATGCGCTGGCGACGCCGGTGACGTTACTGCACCGCCTTTGAGGCAATTGTCACATCCCTTCCGCGTCTATGGTCAAGGTAATCAGGATATAATGAGGTAACAAACGTAACCCATAACCAGGCTCTGGTGTCCATAGAGCCCACTTTGAACTTTATCGGGAAAAGATACGGTTGAAAACCAATGACTTCTTCTGAGCCTGATTAAGGGTTAATGGTATCAATCACTACTTATGTGTTAAAGTAAAAGTATAAAGATCCCACAGACCTCATCCTACTAATATCCTACTATCCTACTAATATTATAAATGCGAAAGTTTGGATGTCTGGATGTTTGGATGTTTGTTACTCTTTCATGTAAAAACTACTGAACGGATTTTCATGAAACTTTACAGTATTATAGTTTATAACCCAGAATAACATAATATAGGCTATAAATTTATGACGACATGTGACAAACTAAATTTCACGCGGTTGAAGCTGCGGGCAAAAGCTAGTTATAAAATATTTTAGTCTCTCTCTTTAGCTATAGCAAGACTCTCTAATTTACCAGAGGCAAATAGCAGATTTGGGCTCTGGCTGGACGGGTTTGAAGGGCTTTGATCGGATACTATGCGAAGTTTCTATGGGCTTCTAAAGTTTTCTTAAATAATGATGATCTGAGGACTTGTCCTGTACGCCCAAAGCTGCAGAAACTAGTCAATAAATTAAAAAAATCACGTCGAAAGCGTCATAAATCACGGGGTACTTGACCCACCTTGCGCGCGCGCATACGTGTCAAGTGCGCGCGGCGATACGCGTCGCATACGTTTGGCTGTTAGATTTG